ACATAGATCTGAATCTGGTGAGCAGCTTTTAGGCTTGTAGCTTCTTCTTCTTCTTCTTATGCAACTGAGACTTCCCGTTTATAATATTGCGTTCCACTCGCCTCCCACTCCTAAAGTTCTCTGCAATGCTCTCCAGGCGTGCAACTCTTTTGCTCGCAGGAGAGGGTTCGGGGTCTGACTGCCCCCTGCTTTGGAGGGACATCCTGCCGTCCCCGTCGGAGACAAGCCATCATTTCAATACCTCCACAGCTGCTCCTCTTTGCCACCACTGCCACCAATTTTTATTGCGTCGGGGAAGGCAGGCAAAGCGGCTCGATCAGATGCCAAACGCCTTTGCTCTTCCTTTGCGTAACAGTCCATGCACCACCCCCTGACAGCCATCTCATCTGCTGCCTGATGCACGCTGTTGGGAGGAGCTTTTGCCGTGTGTTCTTCCGCTAGTTTAACCGTTGCTGTGCTTCTTGCGAAAAGGAATCTAAGCCATCGTTAAGCGAGGGGCAGCTTGTTGCGGTTTTCTTGCTTGCTCTCGGCCACAAGAAGCAGGTGATGGGTTGCAAGATAGATCAGGTACTGAGTTGTAGTAGATTCCTGTGTTGCTGTCATCGATGGCATCTGCCTTGTGAGGCCATTACGTGGTCCTACTTGTGCCTCTCGTCCTTTGATTATTTTAACTTCGTGGTCACATCACTTGATTTCTTGCTGCAACCTCACAAGCTATATATATTTATATCTATATGTTTACAGTTATACGCTGGAAAGAATCTTTCATAGTGCCAGTATAAAGAATAATAAAATAAGTTCACCACCTTCCTTTCCGGACCTTTTCTCAGAGAAAAAAAAAGAGATAAGAAAACAGTGAAGAGTACATACAGCTTCCTACACCAGGGAAGAACACCCAGGTTCCTAAATGATCCTGACGTTCTTTTTTCTTTTTCTGAAAGATAGGGTGAGAAGAAGATCTAATAATTTAATTTGAGTGATCTTATACCTCGAAAGATAACCTGAAGTTCTTTTTTTTTTTTTCATCTGTTTTAGTAAATGGCAGAGGATTCGGAACAGCCGAATCCTCATCCGAGTTTGTCTTGGATTAGGATGTCAGGTGTTTCGGTGATCTAAACCAATATCTTACAAAATTATATTAGAGGTATTCTCGATAAGATTTCTCTTATACTTACTCTAGTATGAATTTGGAGAGAGTCAAATATTAAGTTCAAATATTCATAATTAATAATATCTCAAAAGTATAAATGAGGCCTTTTTAAAATATAATATGTGACAGGCTAAATATTGGGAATGATTATGCACCACATATCATTAATATGATCGTAAAATCATGTATCGAATTTAGGAATATAAAATAATAATTCATTAAGTCAATCACCTTATCAACGCTATATGATCAATCTCGAGAGACTAAATCAAATTTATTATTAATATCATGTTGTCTATCAAATAGATTTGAATCATTGATAATGTCGATCGAATAGGAATAAAGTATTAGACAAGTGAAATTTAAGAATTTACTTTATTTTTGTAAGTATTAGTTTAATAATAAATTTATGAATTTACATGTTGGTTAAGTGTTTGATAAATGGAGTCGGTGCATTGGCAACTATCGATGACGTGTCATATTAGTGCCTAAAATATAAGTAGATTTTGATTAACTATAATACATTTAAGAAAAAAATATTTTAGGTTATTTAGCAACTTACATATTTAGGAAAACCAATCGAAAAATACTTAATTCTATTTTAAAACGATCAGGCCCACAATATATTTTTTATTAGATTAAAAAATAGAAAAGAATGGGAAACAAGATCATTTGGATCAGTGGGGAGGAACACCTCAATCTAAATCAGTGGCACATTCCTTTTGTTCTTCAAGAACCACGTTTGGGAATATCATCAAACGAGTCATGGGATGCACTACCAGTCTCTCTGATGTGACTCTTGTTTGGCCTCTTCCGGAGGCAAAGGCGTCCCCCCTCACCAATACTGTACGCCAGCGAGAGTGACAAGCGCAGCAGCAGACCTTGGAATTGAGAGAATGGCGGGGCACGCTTTGTCCTTGTCCTCTCTCTTCGCGTGCCTCCAATGACTTGAGACGTGAAGTGACTGCAACCATCTTGTTGCTCGCTTAGTCCTCCTTGGAATCCTACGGCATATGCCTTCTTCACCCTCGAGACTGATGACAGTCATCGGATTCTTTCTTCTTCATGAAACTACTGAGCGTAAGCAACCCAAATTCCCTGTAACAGATGTTTCCTTGAAGACAATCACAATCGATGAACCAGTTGCTTCGTCTCCCAAGAACTGACATCTTCCACTGTTTAGTGTTCTGTAGGTGACGAAAGAACCACAGTGGCCAAACTAAAACAGTGCCAACAAAAGACACTGGAACGAGCAGCATGAGCGTTCAGTATCTCTTAGTACAACAAGCGAGCGCCAGAGTTTGCATGTCGTCCGACAAATCACGTTCCATGTCGCCTCATGAACTAATGGGAAGCTGCCGTTTGCTCCCGGATGACTCGGCAGATCCAACATGACACTGTCTCATCTCATCTCTCTCTCTCTCTCTCTCTCTCTCTCTCTCTCTCTCTCAGCGCAAGTCCAATGAACGGGCATGAAGCACGAATATAGTGTATATAAGTGCAGGAAAAGCACTGTTCTGAAGCCCAAGCAGCATCTTATCTACAATTCGTGATGCTCACATCACTAACTCGCTGGTCTAAAAGATCATCAAACACCACCAAGAACACTCCCCACTCTCTCTCTCTTTCCATCACACACGGCAAGTCCAGTGAACGTGCATGGACATAGTCTACACTGACGCAGATTCAGCAAAACCACTGTTCTGATGCCCAAGCAGTATCTTATCTACGATCTCTGATGCCCACATCACTAACTCGCTAGTCCAAAAGGATCATCAAACACCACCAAGAACACTGTCGATTCTCTCTGTCTGCACCACGAAGGCTCCTTTAGTGCGCCTGTCCTCTTCCACCAAATAGATGGGAAACAAAAGCCGGCACAGCCCACTTGGGATCACTGATTGAGAGGATGGCGTCCAAATATTTTCCTGATCCCAAAGAGGGGAGGCTAGGATTCTTCGTTGATCAGATCCCAGCCATGAATGGTTGCTGCTGTGTGGGTGGTACTGGAGGAGGAGGGTGGTCGGATGGGAATCCTTTGGCTTCATGTCATGGGAGGGAAGCACAATGCTGGTACTTGGAAGTCTGCGACCATTATCGATGGGTGTCGGGCGTGGGGCTCGGGGATGATGGTGGTACCAAGTGATGGCTCCCGAGAACAGCTTGGAGTTTTGGTTGTCACATTCCGTGAGCATCTTCTCCTACCCAATTCTTAAGAGCCATTTATCAAAAGTCATTTTACCAAATTTTTATTATAAGCTCCCTTAAATCTATAAATGAAAAAAACTTCCCGTTAATTCCCGGTTGTCAGTACTTAGTACACAACATATCTCTCTCTCTCCCTCTCTCTTTCTTAGGGCATAAGGATTTTTTCTTTCGTTTCAGTCCATTATTATATCTTGCATTTCGAATCACTTACTACGTGACTTGAGTGTCAATCTAACGTATCCTAATACTTGCTTTCCAAGATTTGCATGCGTTAGCTCTGTTATCAGTATCGTTGCGCATAATGTACATCATTTAATGTAATAAAAATATATTTTATTTTTTAAAAAAATACATACGCTTCTTCTTAGTTCGACAATTAGTCATTATTTAACGTAACATATCATTGCATATCATATACGTCATTTAATATAACAAAAATATATTTTAATTTTAAAAAAAAAATTTACCTGCGCTTCTTCTTAGTTTGATAATTAGTCGTTATTTGTCTTGTTTGTATGAACTGGGTCAGGTTGATTTAGATCTATCACCTTAGATTGATGACCAAATATGATCTTATCAACTCTATCTATATCATATTCTATTGAATTCCAAATATAATATATTATCTTTGATATATGACAAGCTAGAATGATCAATCCATTAAAACTTCACATAGGTAAATGGAAACAATCTAACATCCTTTAAGAGATTATTTTTGCCATCCATTAGTTGATGGAAAGAACACATATCACACCTCATAAGTTAGTTCGTATGCTTATACTATAAGTTCGTCTAATCTGAGCTACTATCATAGATAAAATTATAAACAAGATATTCGAAGTAATACTCATATATGTTTGTATCTTTTGATTTTGTTTATACTTTACATAGCATGTGGAGAGCTTATAGTAAATTTGGCAGCCTCATTTTGATTAGTTTTTGTGGTCATTTCAAGCTTATAAATGCAGGTTATGTGTTATTGTGGAGTCATCAATGTACTTCATGTAGCGAGCGATCTCATCCTCGCTTGCCCCTTCTTCGGGCGTAGGCATCACTGTATCAAGGATGTACACGATTTTCTCCGCTGTGAG